TAAGACCCTGCCCCGAGCCCCAGTCAACGAGGTCGTTCCCACTTTTCCTTGCATGCCGAATGGGGTCGCCCCCCTTCTTGATTAAGTGTGTGCATCCTCCTCCTCATTTCCCTCGAAGCCTATGCCCTTGTGAAAGGTACATCACAGGGGCCGTGCACTGATTATTTGCCCCCGGGGTTGTTCACTCAATATTTGCCCCCACGCGTGCAGCATAGGCTCTGGCTCCCATCGCGCGTCAGGCTGAGGCGGCTGGACTTTCATCATTCATGCTGTCCGCTCCCATTTTCTCCCCCCCTCCCGAAAAATTGCATCGGGGCCTCGGGGGCGCCGAGCCCCCGTCCCCCCAAACCTGGTCTGCAGCCTCTTCGGTGAGGGATTCGGTCACCGCAGGGGGCAACGAGGAAGGTTCGCCGCCGCGGCTCTCTCTCTCTCTCTCTCTCTCTTTCGTGCGTTCCTCCCCACGTCCTGAGTGGGTTTCGTGTTTTCTCTATACACCCCCGCGCAGGAACCGGAGCACCCCCACATCATCATCGTCTTCATGATCATTCCGTCATCTTTACTAATCATCACAAGCATCGTCACAACCATCATCCTATCATGGCCATCGGTCACCACCACCACCACCACCACCACCACCATCATCATCATCATCATCATCATCATCATCATCATCATCATCATCAGCATCAGCATCAGCATCAGCATCAGCATCAGCATCACCACACCACGTATACACACCCACCATCACCACAATTTCTTCTTCTTCATCATCATCGGCATCATCGTCGTCGTCGTGATCATCATTCTCACCAAACCGTGTTGTATGACCCACTCACACACTCACACATTTACCTTCAGGAAGTCTCGAGCGGGAGCCACGTCTGTGAGGTGATTCCGAGGACGTCTCAGGCGGGAGCCCCTTCGCTATGGGGCCCGCGGATCATGTTGGTAACCCGACGGTGTCATCGGGAATTTCTAACTGTCATAATGTTTGTCCTCTTCAGCCTTGGAGTGTATGGAGGAAGTCTCCAGCGGGTGTCTGGGCTGTCAGTGAATTGTGAGGAAGTCTCAGGCGGCAGCCCCCCCCCCTGTCGGGCCTGGGTCATACAGTGGGGGTCCATGTCAAGAAACACCCTGCTTGCCTCCAGGGTGCCTTGGGTTTCTTGGGTTTCGATGGCTTTGTTATAGAAAGCGTGACGTTCCCACACCAAACATCAATGGACGTCCTGTGGTCTCAAGGTTGGGTTTCTTGTGGAAGGTTTCTTGTGGACTGGCCTCCACTGTAGGAGCACTTGAGCACCCAAAGGGGTCACGTCGTGAGGATGTCTCCGGCGGGGGCCTCGTCTGTGAGTGAGTCGCGAGGGCCTCCCAGGCCGGAGCACCCTCTCTGTGAGGCCCGCGGGTCATGTCGGGAATCCAGGCGGGTCCGTTGCTTATGGCAGCAGGCATAGCAGTTGAGAACCCCCAAGGGGGCAACCCGTGAGGACGTCTCGAGCGGGGGCCTCGGGTGTGAGTGAGCTGCAGTGAAGTCTCAGGCGGGAAACCCCTCCTCATGGGGCCCGCATCTCGTGTCGGTGATCTGAGCGGGCCATTTGCGCATTGGAGAAGGCATAGCACTTGAACACGCAATGGGGCGAGTCGTGAGGATGTCTCGAGCGGGGGCCTCGTCTGTGAGTGAATTGCGAGGAAGTCAACGGCGGGAGCACCCTCCCAGGAAGTGTTAGTCGGGAGCCCCGTTTTTGGGGGGGGCCGCAGCTAACGTTGTTAATCCGAGCGGATCGCTCGCGTATTGTTGTTGGCAGACGTAACGCTCGAGCACTTCAAAGGCGCAAATCGTGAGGATGTGCCGAGCGGGGGTCCCGTCGGTGACTGCATTGTGAGGAAGCAACACCCTCCCTATAGGACCCGCAGGCCTAAAAGCACCCAAACCTAGAGGTCGCACAGTTCCCACGGGCCCCATCGGTTTGAAGAGTCCCACACGACGCATCGTGGTATCTTCGCATGCTGGCATCATTACCGTTACTAGTAGCCGGCGAGGGTAAGTTTGAGTCACAGCGAAGATGTTATTATGTTGGATTCGTTCATCGTAATAGGAAGGTTTCGATCACTGGCCATCATCATCACAACCACCATCATGTTGACCAGCACCATCCGTAGCCAGTATAGTTCAAGTTCGAAGCGTACGGTCTGGCGCTTCGGGCTTGTTTGCAGCCAAGGACGTGGCACGAGGGCCCTGACCTTGGGCGGCTGTGGCCCAGCTTTCCTGCCCAGTGTGTGCGAGTTCCAGTCTCCTCTCTCGCATCTTGCCGCCATGGCGCTCGATCTTTGCGATACAGGCAATGTCGACGTTCGCGCGATTTCCACCAACGGGATGCTCGATCAGAGGCTCGTTGGGATGAATGCGACAGTCACCATCCGAGATCAACAAGTCAATGATATGGTCTAGCGTTTTGATGCCCTCGCGCCCTCGAGAATGCTCGCAAGTGTCTTTTTCGGAATGCGTCGCTCCGTCGACGCGGGCTCGCTCACTGACAGCAGTACTTCAGAGGCTTTTAGTCCGAGATAAATTGGAGACGCTTATATATTGCTAGCTTTGGGCTTTACGACAGGATGACGAGCACTTCTCTCTCTCTCCCTCCCTCTGTCTCAGGTTACTAAAGAAATTATCCCGAAGTTCGCGGCAGAGAAGGCAGGGGAATTAACCGGGGCTCGCGCATATGATCTCCAGACGAAAATCGCCGTCGATCCCCCCCCAGCCGCGGCATCTGACTTCCCAGACAACCTCGAAAGATGGCACAAGGTTTTGAACCCGCGGCGCCCTCCCGAAGTCTGGCCCGTCCGCGATCGCCGTAACCCTTCTCCTCCACGCCGTCATCCGTTCGTTAGGGTGGGCAAAATTCGTCGCGCTTTGCAGGGCGAGCTGAACCCGGTAGGTCTCCAGGTTAATTGGCACGGGATTGGTGGATTGGTGGTAATGTGTTGCCCGCGAGTCGAGGGATGACCCAGTCCTTCTTCTCCCACTCCACTCCTGCCTGCAGAACAGTCCGGCAAGGAGGCACATGTCTGCCAGCGACCGATTTTGATTTGGAGGCTGCTCGCGCTACTTTTCAGGCCGCGTTCGAGACTGCCCCCTCGCGCCCCCATTGAGGAGGAATCTCGCGGATTGGGCGGCCCCGGGGAGCCCGTGACCAAACCCCTCTGCCCGATGTTGTCCCGGGGCTGCTCATCAGAGGGGGTGTTCCTTTAATGAGTCTTATTCTTCGAGCGGCTCTGACTCGGAGACTGGCGCGTCTAGTTAAGAGCCTTGCGCTGGGCTGGGCCGCCCATTTGAAATGTCATTTCCTTTCTCTCCTTCGCCATCCATCGCGGCTGCTGCTCGCCCATTTCAAACACTGGCGCCTTTCGCCCCCGCCCTTCGTGCGTCCGCGCGCGCCTTCAGGCGGCGCGAACAATTCTCGGGGCATCGTCGACGCTCGAGCACATTCCTCGCAACAGATGCACGACGTGGCGGGGGGGCCAAGGTTCATCATCGCGACTTGCAGGGGGCCTTTTTTTTCCTGGGTTCTTCTGGTCGTGCCTCTGAAATCGCCCGCCGCGGTAACTGTTCCCACCTCCGCCCCCCCTCAGCTCTCATCGGGCATTGCTCGTGCTTCGAATGAGCCAGGGCGCGCTCTCTTAACGAAACGCAGCGGGCGGCGCGGCCCAGCCCGGGCAATGAACGTTCACATTCCCGCCCCTGGGTGCCCGCGTGGGCTCTTAGTTGATCCCTTCGTCGCATCTGGGGCGCTTTGGTGGAATATCAGCGTGCACTTCGCGCTGTTGTTTTCTGCTTTCTGGGGGGGGGGCGACTTCATTCTTCTTCGGGGGGGGGGGGCGGGGGGCAGCGCGGGGGCAGCTCTGGGCGACGACGCGGGGGCCGACGCCGACGCGATCTGCCCCTTGCATGTTTCCCGCGCTGGGCAGAAATCCTTGCTGCCCGATCCAGCTCAACGGGGGGCGCGAGGAGGGGCGTTGCTCCACGCGGGCCGCCGCGATCTTCTGAACTTTGCAAATCCGACAGCTGCGCTCTCTGACTTCTCGACCTCTTGCGCGGCAATTGGCGGGGCTACTCGGGTGGGGGATGTCGCGGACCATGTCCATGTGATTGCGGCGTTGCGTCGGCGTTGCCCATCGCAAGTCTCGAGGATCCCACCGCCTCGGTCGGGGCCCCTGCTGAGTTGGAATTCCTGCCGGCGGGAATGGATCGATTCCGACCCGTGACCAGCTTGCTCTCGCGGCGCAGCGCCCGCGGGAGGCGCGCGCGCCGGCGCGCAAAAACGCAAGGCGCAAGCGACGGCAAACAATGTCGACGAGAAGATCCAGTCTGCTCCAGCTGCCTTGCGCGGAGCGCGCGCGCGGCATATTGGGCGCGTGGCGCCACTTTGCGCCGCTCCGCCATCTCCCGGTTCTTTGACCTGGGCGCCGGCACATCCCGCTCTCTACCAGCGCTCCGCGACCACATTCAGCCAGGGCCAATCTCGGGCGCCAGAGCTGGAGCGCGAGGCAGATCGGGGGGCCGAGGCCGAGGTGGAGGCGAGGTTGGGGCCTGGGCATCAGCGTCGCAAGGTGCGCTGGAGGCCTTTGCACCAACGGACTTCGCCCGGAGCCAACTCGGATTCCGGGGGGCCCGGCGAGGCCGCAGTTCAAGCCGGGAAGAACCGGTTAGACATCGGGGAGCCATCTCCGGGAGTCACGATTGCGATGAAATCTGCTGCCCTGACTTGAAGGGCCTCGTCATTCGTGTCTTGGGGATTTTTTCATCAGCAGCGGGCCATGGCCCCATGGGATTTTGAGCCCATGGTTCAGGTGCGAACGGGCTCTTATGCCCGGGCCAGATGGCAGCGTTGAACTTCACGTTGGAGATATGTTGCCTTTCTCGCCATTAACGACGACTTGCGCTGCCGCCCCATGACGACTCGCTGGGGCGAGGTGCCGCGGCCGGCCGAGGGGGGCGATCCATCCGATCTTGTCTCCGCCCCCTCGCGTTCTCTGGGCCCCTGCCGACCTGTGGCCACGGCTGACATTGATCGTGAGTTCTCATCTCTTGCATTCTCGCGGAGACTTGAACGAGCAGCTCGGGGGGCGGCGGTCGCAGCGCGGGCGCGTCTGAAGGGGCGGCCCATGACTGATCAGATTCTGGCGGCGGCCGAGCTTCGGCGGCGTCGGGCGGTAACGTCTCAGTTTGGTTTTGCGGCTGCGTTTCCGAGCATTGCCATACCTCGGTTGCTGCGGGTTCGGCCCCGATGCAGGTTCAGCCCGCGGTCGCGGGCTCCTCGGGCCGCTTCATGGCGAGGACTCTGGGATCGTGTGCTCTGGCGGCAAGCGGCGTCGGAGGTTTCGGTCGTCGCGCGGCGTGCGGCGGGGAGATCCGCCGAGCGCGCCCGCGGCTGCGCGGGCGCCGGGCCCGTGAATCAGATGGGTGCCCCATCGATTCCTCCGCACGATTCCCGGGTGCGCGGATGATCTTCGGTCTGGGCTTCGGGATGCGGTTCTGGAACTACTCTTATTTATGTCGGACGTGTCCCCCTACAGGGGGATTTTCGACGAAAAATGTAAATACCCCCAAAATACCCTAAAAAGGTCAAACAATACTCAAACATAGTCCCCATACTATTTTTTGATTATTTTTGGATTATGTTTGGGTTTTTTTTATTTTTCTTCGAAAATCCCCCTGTAGGGGACAGGCCCGACTTAGAACTACTCCTCGTGCTCCTGCTTTTCTGAAGCTTGATGGTGGCATTGGTTTTACTCTGGATCTTGGGAAGCGCTCGCTGATTCACTGTGGGATGGAACCCTCTCCTCAGACGACTCGGCATGCTCGGGGGATGTCGGCGCAGATTGGTCGGGCTTCGTTGATTAAGTTGTTTCGGCGTGCCCGTTAACTACATTGGGATCCAGATTCAGATTGGGCGCGGCGGTTGAAAGTTCGCCTGGGGCAACGCCATTAAGAAATGCCACCAGCGTTGTATTCAGTCTTGTAGATAGAACGCTGGGCTGACATCGCTATCCGCATGCATGGGATACTCGCTGCGCCTATCTGGCGATTCGTGATGCTATTTTTCCATGTCCCCTGAGCTGGGCTGGAATGCGAAGGGAACGTGCAGCAGAAGATGTTAGCTGGGCCCCGATTCTTGGCGCTCGTATCGTGTGCACTCGTCTTCGAGGCTTAGGGCTGAGCCTCGAATTCCCCGACCTGCCCGGCGTGGGCATGGCGCCTCAGGTGGGTCTCGCGCACAAGTGCTCCGCGTTTGATGAAATTCGTTTGCTTGCGGTGGGAGACCTACAGACGCAGGATGGTTTTCACCCGGGTCGGATGAGCCACCAGGACGAGGAGGAGGCGGAGGAGGAGGAGGACCATAACGAGGACGAGAAGGACAAGGAGGAGGAGGAGGAGGAGGAGGAGGAGGAGGAGGCGGCGGAGGAGGAGGAGGAGGAGGAGGAGGAGGAGGAGGAGGGCCACGGCCCAATGGCGGAGAAGAGGAGCTCGGCCGGGCCAGGCAGGCCGCAGACCTGGCGGCGGAGCCGCCCGCCGCGCTCGCGGACGCGGAGGCCCCGCCGGCGGGCGACGCGCCCGCGCGGCGAGGGGCTGCGGGCGCCGCGGCGGCCTCGCCCCCGCCCGCCAGGGTGCTCCGTGCAGGAGAAACGGACCGCGCGCCTCGCCATGGGTGAAGCAGTGGCGACGCGTCCTGGCTCGCCTATGGGCTATGGGCCCACCAAACGATGTTCTAAGAGACGCTGGCGGTTTCCACGCCACGCTCCCAGAACTTTTCTGGCTGGGACTGTCTTGTTTTATCAAGCCAGGCTTGTGTTCTCAGAGCATTGTTTTTTGTTCTTCGAGCATTCTTGGGTTCTAAGAACATTTCGTGGTAGGCCTGTAGAAATGCCGGACGGTCGGTCCCTGGTCAAATGGGGGAATCCTGAGATACTGGCGTCTCAATTTTTTCGAGCCAGGCATTGTCGTCAAGTTTCGGGCCCCAAGACCCTCACATCGATCCGGCTCGAATGGCGGCGCATCAAGTTGGGTTCTAGGGCTCCGGCTGTGATTGCGAACGTCGTTTTTTCCTATTTTTTTCGCGGCGTCGGATCTCAGGGAAGCGGGTCCTGAGGGAAACGGGTCCTGAGGTGTGTCGATGTTGTCGGGCTGTCAGGGCCTCGGCACGGGCCCCAGGGCTGTCAGAGGACGGCCCGGGATGCCAAAGTCGTCTTGGGGGCAGGCACTAGGGTCGAGGACCCGTTCCCCGTAGGACGGACCCGTCTCCCCATATGCAGCACTTTCTTCGAGGGAGGGAGCTCGGGGACCATTCGGTACGATCGAAATGAGTACCCATCCGTCGTTGAGAGTAGGTGCTCTGAAGTTTGCCGATGCCAGTGTGCTTCAAGCGCCTTCCTATCTCAAGAGTCGATCTATGTTTTTGCCGTGCTTTGTTACTCTTTGGGTTGGCCCGAACCCTGTCTACTTGAACCGCCTTCCTGCTTCATGCTTCTAAGTACACCGGCGTGTACGGAGAGAACGGGTGCGAAGACCAACAGCGCATCTTGTCTGCTTTCAGCAGGGTTCGTCGTCGACGTCGCCGCGGATGTTGCCCATTTGAGACAGAGGGGCGTCCGCCCGCCAGCGGCCGCTGCTGGTTTCGGACACCATGTGTGGTTGGGCATCGTGCACACTTGTTCCGTACCCATTTCAAGATGTCGCAGGATGTTGCCGATTCCGATGCCAATGTCGGTCATGGTCCATGTCGGCCGTCCCCGAGTCACGAGGGGGTTCCACGCATTGATGCTGGCCAGGACCGACGGTGACCAAGATGGACACGACGTTTCCACGTTCACTCTTGATGATGGTTCCCGTTTTCTCCCCTCCACCTTTGCCGAGGGAACGGTCGCCACCGTTCGATTCGCCCCCGAAATTCTGGTCACAACACAGTCTAGGAGAGATTTGGGAGGAGCGGTCTTCGTTTTCCCCAAGAATGCGCGTACTCTTCTATCCGAAAGCAAATAAGTGTATGAATTACGCTACCGAGGAACCCCACACACCTATTTTATGTCCCGCGCGTACACTCAGCACTACTAATACGACTGCGATGATACCACTATTATCATTATGACGACGTCTACTACTACTACTACTACTACTACTACTACTACTACTACTACTACTACTACTACTACTACTACTACTACTACTACTACTACTACTACTACTACTACTACTACTACTACTACTACTACTACTACTACTACTACTACTACGACTACTACCTACTACTACTACTACTACTACTACTACTACTACTACTACTACTACTACTACTACTACTGCTACTACTACTACGACGACTACTTACTACTACTACTACTACTACTACTACTACTACTACTACTACTACTACTACTACTACTACGACGACGACGACGACGACGACGACGACTACGATCATTCTTATTAGCATTATCATTACTACTGCTGCTACTGCTACTGCTACTGCTACTTGTTCTACTGTCGCTGCTACCGCTTGAAAACAAAACACTGTTACTCCTACTACGACGTCATTACTACTACGACTACTATTACAACAACAACATCAAGTGTTTCTACTACGATTCCTACTACTACGATTACTGCGACCACGACTACTACGAATACGATGATTATTTCTGAAAGAGCGTGTTCTACCGCTGCTGGCGGAAAACCGGGGGGGGTCACTAGCCGTTGGGAACCCTCCCCCCCCCCCCCCCCCCACTCCCCCCCCCCCCCCCCCCCCCCCCCCCCCACTCCGGAAAACCGGGGCGGGGTGTCCACTACGGTTCGAACCCCTCCCCCCCCCCACCCCATGCTCTTCATGAAAGGAGGGGGGGGGGGGGGGTCACTACCGGTTCGAACCCCCCCCCCCCCCCTCTCGAAAACCGAGTGGGGGGGGTGCGGACAGTGGTGGGGACGGTGTTGGTGGGGACAGTGGTGAGGGGACAGCGGGACAGTGGTGGGGACAGTGGGGGGACAGTGGGACAGTGGTGGGGACGGTAGTGGTGGGGACAGTGGTGAGGGGATAGCGGGACAGTGGTGGGGACAGTGGGGCAGTGGGACAGTGGTGGGGACGGTAGTGGTGGGGACAGTGGTGGGGACAATGGTGGGAACAGGGGGGGACAGTGGACTGTGGTGGTGATGGTGGTGGTGGGGACAGTGGTGTGGGGACAATGGGAACGAGGTGGAAACTGTGGGACAGTGGAGGGTACAATGGTGGTGGGGACAGTGGTGAAGGCGGTGGCGAGGACGGCGGTGGGACAATGGGACAGAGGTACAGTGGGGACAGTGGTGGGGACAGTGGGGACAGTGGTGGGAACAGTGGGACAGCTCAGTGGGACAGCGGAGGAGTTAGTGGGACAGTGGGGACAGTGGGGATAGTCGGGCAGTGGTTGGGGCCGTGGAGACAGTGGGGAGAGTGGAACCGTGGTGGGAACAGTTCTGGGGACAGCGGGGGACAGTGCGACAGTGGTGGGGCCACTGGGGACAATAGGGGCGGTGGTGGAACCAGTGGGGACAGCGGTGGTGAGGACAGTGGTGCTGGAAACACCAGTGGGGGATGTGATGCGGACGGTGGTGGGGACCGGGAGTCGTTTGCTGGCGGTGAGTAGGGGGGAGGGGGGGGGGGGGTTCGAACCGGTAGTGACCCCCCCCGGTTTTCCGGATCCGGAGGGGGGGGGGGGGGGGGGGGGGGGAGGGGTTTCGAAACCGGTAGTTACCCCCTCGGTTTTGAGCGTGAGGGGGGGGGGGGGGGGGGGGGGTGGGGGGTTAGGGGAGGGGGGGGGTTTGCCGGGGAGAGGGGGGGGGGGAGGGGGGGAGGGGTTCCGGCAGGGGGGGGGGGGATTTTCGGAGGGGGGGGGGGGGAGACCCCCGGGTTCCGGAGGAAAAGGTTGGCAATTTTCCACAGTAAAGCGGCGGTGGATCACGCTCTCTCAAACATCGTCACCTGACTACTTTTGTTGACAATTCTTGACTTTTCCTCCTGTGGAGGGACACGCCCGACTTCAATCTGGTGTCGGAAGGCTTGGAAATGGGCATCAACACCAACACCGGTGTCTGCCCCAAAGGGGGGAAGGCGATCCCAGATTTTGGTGTTGGTGGTAATCTTTCGGCCACCGTGGAAGCCCGAATACTACCACCATCGCCGAGATCGGGATCATCTTCCCTCGGTGGAGGACACCCTGACAGTCTTATCATTGAATTTACAACGTGTTCGAAATGTTGGAAAAATGTTCTAAACATGTTTCATCTATGTCTTTACATGTTTAAAACACGTTTGAACAATGCTTTAGACATCTGGATTTGATTTGGCAACATGTTTCGTCTCCATTGCTCGACTTCCACAAGAACTTTGCCACCATCGCCGAGATCGGGATCATCTTCCCTCGGTGGAGGCACGCCGCCGATATTGATGCTGGTGCTAACCTTGTGGATGCCACGACAATGGACACCCTAACAGTCCTATCATCGAATTAAAAATGTGTTTAACATGTCGGAAATATGCTCTAAACATGTTTCAAACATGTCTGTTACAGGTTTAAGACATGTTTTAAACATGTTGTAGACATCTGGAAATTATTTGGCAGCATGCTTCCTCTCCATTGAGCCGTCCTCCACAGTGCTGGTGCTAACCTCGAGGCCTGCGAGGATGGCATGGCCGCCGTGCCCTCTCTGGCGCCACCTCGCTGGCAGGGCCTGGCCTGACACCCCCCGGGGCCCCGGGGTGGGGCCGCGTGCCACCCCGGGGTGGCACTTCCCGCTTCCCGTCGGCCACCCGCCCCGCCCGCGCCGCCCGCGGCGGCCTCTGGCGGTGCTCCGCCGGGTCGAGGCGGACCAGGAGGTTCCCACGATGGCCCCACGGCGGCCCTGGGAGCACTCATGACGGCCCAAGAGGCCCCCAGGACGGCCCCAAGACGGCCGAAGAGGGCCCCGAGACGGTCCAAGAGGCGCCCCAGACGGCCTAAAAGGGCCCTAAGACGGTCCTAAGACATGCCCAAGGGGGAATCCACGAACCGAAAATTCGACCTTTCCGCCGGGTCTACTTCCCCCCCCTCAAAGATTAGGTCGGGCATGTCCCCCTACTGGCGGATTTTGGGCGAAAACTTAAACAGACTCAAAAAAATGCTCCATAGATGCTCAAAAATATCCATCGTCCCCAGACTATGTTTTGACTAGTTTAAAATATTCCCCTGTAGAGGGACAGGACAGGCCCGACGTAAGTCCATTTCCCCCCAAAAGAGCCAAAGAGGGCCCGTTCGGTAGGGCATACTGTGAAGCTCGGCAAGGCGAAGAATGAGAACGGATATCGCAGCGTCGGCAGCCAGCGCGCCAGCGCAGGACGAACCGTTGTTGGTCGGTCCGCCTGGTCTTGGGCCGCTGCGGCCTTTGCTGCGGGGTGCCCGCGCCGTGGCCAGTTCCGCGCCGCGCGCCGTGGTGGCCTGCCAGCTGTGTTGCCTGCGCCGGCTGGGCCGGGCCACCGCCCTCCGCTCGTGCCGCAGCTCGGCGCCCCTGCCCTGCCACACCTGTGGCTGGG